TGCCCATATTTTCAAGTCACTCAATAATTCCGTAACAGTCCATGGCAGGATATCGAGAGAAACAACAAGATTAAAGTTTTTGGAACAGTGCTTGAGTAATGGCTTCTTTTCTCGTCATAATATTAAAGCCGTCAATGCATGTAAAATACCTCCTTCATTAAAAAATCTTGGACGTGTCCTGCATCAATATTTGTTCTAGCTTTATTTAAGTTTCTTTGATGGTAGAATTTTATCAAAGTTTAGAAATTAATTTGTGTTAATTTTGTTCGAAAATATTTACTCGATACTTTTGTTATTAGGTTAGAAATAGTTTCTTGATACACTACCAAATATAATAAATGACTGCAAAATAATATTATTTTTAAATAGGATTTCCATATGCAGTAGTCAGGTGGTGTATGCAACTGATGTCGACAAATATAAGTAGTATATATCATCAACCAAAAGTGAAATGCCTGGAGGCACAATGTTAAGAAGATAGAGGAGAACGAGAACAGAGGATGGTTGGTGCGGAAACGAAGAAACAATCAAACTGAGAAAATTGATTGACATTTTGCAAATAAATTATTTACTATATGATTCTCAGATTTTACTAAGATGTTCTGTAATTTTGTATTCAAATACATTCGATTACCCCCATTGTGTTCTCATTCATAGTAGTAAAGTTATTTGTATGTTTGAAAATAACTAAGACTATTATTGGCATACATACATTTGTTGAATTTTTAATACAATGATTTACAAACTCTATTCACAACCATGTAGCATGCATTAAAATATACTCCGCTTGACAGTATCTGTAAGGTTTAAACAAATTATTGTTTTGCCATTTATAAAAATCATACATACTCTTAGTTACATTTAATTATCGTTAAAATATCAAACTGTTCTGAATTTTATTTTTTTTTATCATCAGAAATGAAGTCATATAAGATAGGACTCAGTAGCTAAGTGGATAAGGCGATGACGTTTGAAGCGGATGGCACTGGGTTCGAGTCCCAGAATGAACATCAACTCTGAGACGCAGGTACATCCAGCTGACGAGTCCCAAATAGGACGAAACGCGCGTCCTAGATTCCACTGCTAGCCACTATCCATCTTTGCTCATAATGCTTGTAAATTAAGGCAATATCGAGGCATACGCACAGTATGCACATATGCCAATAAGAGACTGAACAATTCCAGTCCTAAAACATCAATGGGAAGATTCAAATAAAACAATATCAAGTGAATTAAATTATAAATTTTGTTCATTATGCTTGTTTTCTTTTTAGCGTTGCTCTCCCTTACTCTTTCTCGTAGTAGTCTACTGGATTATAAAGACCTCGACATCTGAGGGAAAACACGGAATACAATGGACAGCTCAGAACCAATTACACGATTTGGACTTCGCAGATGACCTAGCCCTCATATCGCATACACACGAACAAATGCAGATAAAGACAGCCAGCGTAGAAGCAGTCTCTGCATCAGTAGGCCGCAACATACACAAGGGCAAAACCAAGGTCCTCAAATACAACACGGAGAACAACAATCCAATCACTCTTGATGGCGAAACTCTGGAAGATGTAGAATCCTTCACATACCTGGGAAGTATCATCGATGAACAAGGAGGTTCAGATGTAGAAGTAAAGGCGGGGATTGGCAAAGCAAGAGCCGCATTCCTATCATTGGAGAACATATGGAACTCAAAACAACTTCCAACCAATACCAAAGTCACAATCTTCAATACGAACGTCAGGGCAGTTCTACTGTACAGAGCTAAAACGTGGAGAACTACAACAACCACCATCAAGAAGGTACAGGTATTTATCGATAGCTGTCTACGCATGATACTCAACATCCATTGGCCGGATACCATCAGCAACAGCCTTTTGTGGGAGAGAACCAACCAGCTACCAGCTGAAGAGGAGATTAGGAAAAGACGATGGAAATGGATAGGACATACGTTACGCAAATCATCAAACTGCATCACGAGGCAACGCTTACTTGGAATCGTGAAGGGAAACTGAAAATTGGAAGACCAAAGAACGCATTATGTCGGGAAATAGAAGTAGTTATGAAAAGGATGAATAACAACTGGAAAGGATTGCCCAGGACAGGGTTTGATGGAGAGTGCTGGTGGGCGGATGTGTAGAAATCCAAGTTGCAAATCAAAAGATGGAAGAAGCAGGGGAAGTGTTTATTTAATAACAATAATACAAAACGGCAGTTCAGTGCCTCTAGGTTTTCCATGGTGGTCTAGCTTCGGTTGACTCATGATCTGAACTGTTGAAATTACTATAATATCTACAGAAATCCCTTTTGTCCAGAAAATGGGGATATTTATAATTTTTATCATAAGCTATAACATCATTATAATCCAACCAATCCTCAAGTAAAGTTATTCAATTGCCTAGTGATAACATCCCTCATTGATAATCAAGAAGTTTTTCTATTAGGTTCTGAGTGGATGGAATCTCTTTGGCTTCTCTAGAGCCTCTGGAGGCTTCGTCCTGCAGTTTGGGAACCATTCCAAAATATTTATTATCTACTTTTGATGTAGATTGTTTTTGCCATGATAAGCTAATCATGCGAGTCCAAACCTACTTCCCTTCATTTATATTTTCTTATTTATTCTTGAAAATTTTCAATCTGAGTTAAATGAATATGAGCTTAAATTTTCATCATGAGTTGAAGTTAACTGAATGGGCATTGGAAGACAGATAGCACTGGGCAGTTGTGCGGCCTCGTTTTGAAACCACATATTCGTGACCATACATGGAATTAATCCTAGAATCATCAGGAATTATGATGACGATAAAATCACTCATATAAAAGTACCTCTCAGTTTTACAGTGATATTAAGATTCACGTTATAGAATAAATATTAGACATTCTAAAACCGGTCATATCCGAAAGTTCTTAATCTCTATCTAGTTCGGACTAACCAATCCTATTTGACAGAAAGCAATCCCCAAAGGATATTATTAACTTCAGTAACGATAGAAATCAAATCCATAATAAAATCGTGGGATAGAGAAAAAACACAAAATCACATGGACGAAAATCATTAAAATAGTCACTACATACTAGTAGAAGGCTGTCACAAAATTTTCGCTGTGAGAATTTCAGAAAACTACTGTCGCATTATATTATTCAAGTTTATTAAAATACATTCATAATTTTCATTACTCTATTTTTTTTCACAAGATCGATAGGCCACGTAAACTATTACTTATGGAAACTCACACCTTGAGAAATAAAGGCCAGATGAGTGGTCATAAGTATCTTTTATCATTACGCTTCATGACCCACATGTTTATACAAGTAAAATGCTGAACTACAAGGTAACATAATTCATAAAATTCAGCAGGTGAGTAGGATAATTTTGGTACAAAACTAAGTAGCTTATTCTTAGTCAACTACATTTTTGATCGGTAAAGGATAAGACAATAATTAATGGGTCAATGGGAGCTTATAGTTCGGACCATATGGAAATACCACCAAATACACATGACAAGTATACGCAGAATACATACCAAGTAATTCACCAAAGAATAAATATCCGAATTTCACATCAGTTTTGCCACCTTTTCCCAGCATTTACCAAGTTTTCTGTCCACTAAGTCCTCCTTGCCTTTGACACTGGTAACAATCGAAAATTAGTTTTATATGCAATGAGTAAAGGACTACTACCTATGAGGACTGAATAAACCTTTCTCTGAATTGCTACTGAATCTCAATAAGCTAACAATATCATCTAGATAAAACAGCTAAACTGGAAAATTACACTTAAAATACTTGAGAAATTCTATTTGAGCCAGTCCTGAGAGATCATGTACTAAAGAGATTGTCCTCTGATGTGTACATCACTAAAAACTTTAGATCATCCTCAAGTAGGTGTCATAAGCTTACTTACTCTTCAAAATATTAACTAATCACTTGCTCAAGAATTTACGCAATACAGACTGTTTGTAGGCCCTTTCCATCAACCAAAACTCACTGCAAATTCTGCTTATGCTGACCTTCGTTAAATGGGTTATATTATTTCATTTGTTTCAACAACAGGAGGAAACTAAAATCTATCAAGTCACATGGAAAATTACAAATATATATATATATATATATATATATATATATATATAAATCAACTTTCCATTAATTTAGAAATACCTAATTATCTCTCCGCAATATATACATCCTTCACATTCCCAAAAACCAATACTCGTATATCGTTCACCAAAGGCGATTTATTTTAAATCAACTGAACCAACTCGTACTAAACAATGATCTTCACACCTAATACTATTATTTAGTCATATTAGAACCCCTAATTACATAAATTACGTTTACATTGCTACCTAAATCTCGAGAATTTAGGTGGGGTGATGTAAGGTGCTCCAAAATAGAATTAAATAAAAAGTAGGGTAAATCCTATTATATAATAGTACAGTTACTGATGAAAATACTACCTATCATTGTTCAAGATATTCATGTTTCGAAACCCCTACACTTAAATTATAAATTAACTCGAAATTGACTTTTATAGAATATTGTGACAAGTATCCGCCTATGCAGACGCTACGTTTAAACAAGCTTTCAGAAGTTGGGATATTTCATCATAAAAAACTATGTATTGTCAAGTGTTACGCTAGAATACATTGTGAAATTAGAAGAAATAATAGTTTAGATGAAATTCTTCACACGAAGTATTATTCCGTAACACCGTGAAAGTGGTAACCCATTTATTACACTACCTACTAATAACAAATATAAGTAGCTAAACAAAATAAATAGAAGTACTTAGTCCGTTTGGAAGCAGCGATAAAATCACGAATAAGCCTGAGATTTATAAGTAGACGTTACTCATAGCAATTAATGGATTTTTAGTATAGATAAAGCCCAATCAAATATGGGATACACTATCGACATTTCCCAGCTTAATGATGAATTCTAAAGAAATGAAACCTGATTTCCATATCTAGACTAACAGTTCACAGAAAAATAGGACACAAATCTGTCTCAGTACAAAACGAATTTATCACCTTGAAAGGCTATGCATTACAAAACAATTTTGTGATTACAAATCATTCACCGAAGACATGTTTATTTACGTAGATATGAGTTACAATTTCAAAACAAGACGTCAAAAGTAGGTGGAGCAAGAGTTGCATCCTGCAACCCAATGCTAAAATGTTCATAGTTGTAAAACATGAAACCACTGCTCTAAGTAATAATACAATAACTGAAATTAAATTTCCTACAATAACCATCAATGTAGACAAAACAAACTGTTGACATAGCTCGGGAATAAAAAGAAAACAAATAGAATGACGGAAGTATATCACATTTGTATCATACAAATTAAAAACAAAACATAAAGAGAGCAAAACACCAGTGTAAAACTGCATAGAAAATAAAGTATCATTTCCTAATAAGTATAGAGTTAATTACAAATTTTTCATTTTAGCCATGAGTGATTCGAGGCTATCGTTTGTCTGTGAAATAAAAGAATCAGATGTCTCTTGATAGTTTGAATCAATTTTTTTGTTATCCACTGTATACAATGTTTTTACACCAACTATTTCCGAATTTGAATTGGATAAATCATGTTTCATATTACAAGTGGATTCTGTAAAATTCGATGATTCTGATTCTAATTCAATGCCAAAATCATTTTCTTCATGTTTTGACTTGGATAATGCTTCTTTAAGTTTTTCATGCTTAATTTGATTGGCTTTTAGACGTTCTTCAATATCCCAAGGAGAATCAATTGGAAGGTTTAATTGTTGTAAGTGATTACGCCATTCGATTTGACGCCGATTACACCATGAATCAGCACAATCTGGATTCGCTTTTAATTCAACACGATAAAACGAATCTTTAGCCGCTCCATAACCTAAGTAACTAGAAACCTTTTGTACAAAAATAGGTAAAAAAAAGTAGTGTTTACAGCAGAATATTCCTTTTTGTGTTTCTATTTAAAAGAATTTATGAAAAGCTAAAAAATTAATTTTATTTTACTTAATTCCAATAAACTAATATGTTTAGAATATTAAAAAAAAAAACACTTACCATGTGGAAGTATGGTCAAACGGACAAGAATCAAAGCTCTGATTTTAACAAGCAAATAAATGATACTCGTAGAAATAACAAAGATGTAACGTACTAATGTACCACTCAGTTTCCTAGGAAATATTAGTTGAGTTATACAAAGAAAACAATAGCCGTTTCATAAATACCAATCAACGATAGGTTTCGAATATATATATATATATATATATATATATATATATATATATATATATATATATATATATATATATATATATATATATATATATATATATATGAATAATTTAAGGTAAAACTTCCATTTTGATTCTGTTCACTAAAAAAGAATTTAAAAAAACCTAAAAATCAAACAGTTTTCCACTAGTTCTATCCAGTTTGTTAAAGCATTGCTATTTTTTCATACCTCTTACACTAATATACACCAAAGGAAAACAAAATATAGAAAAAAGCTTTAACTAACCCAATCAATACAGATTATTTGAAGATCTGAACAGGTAAAAAAGCTAGTTTTCCTAAAATTATTAAATATAAACGTTACGTCAGTGTTCACTCCATAACTTGGTGTAAATATGCTCTATACTACAATACTATAAATAATCATCCAAATTTAATAATTCACTGTTAATAGGAAACAACTTACATGATATAATCACGATAAATGAAATAAGATCTAATTAAATCTTGTTTACGGATATAGAACAAATAAACTTAATTCAATGCGTTTCACCTAACAATCATTATCAAATTTGATAAATAAATAAATAAGGTTAACATTTAATTATTCAGAAAATCAGTCAAATTGAAGAAATTCAATAAGTTCAAGTAATAGTTCACATGTGTATTAAATGTGATCAATCAAAGAATAAACACCGCTGGATGTCGACTCAGTGGTCTAGTGGTTAAGTGCTCGCGCGCGAAACCAGTAGGTCCTGTGTTCGAATCTCGCAGGGGGCGAGGTCGTGGATGCGCACTGCTGAGGAGTCCCATGATAGGACGAAACGGCCGTCCAGTGCTTCCAGGTTTTCCATGGTAGTCTAGCTTCAATTGACTCATGATCTTAACCATTGAAATAAACAGAGGGTTAAAAGTAATTAATAAAATATCAACATAATCTATTAGATGAACGAAAAAAAACAAGATCATCCAAGAAATATCTCATACACTTAAAATTGAACAACTTTTCAATTAAACCATATAAGGCTACAACTATATGAACTAAAAATCATCGAATTATGTTAATTATGTCAAGATGAAACAAGTTCATGAGAAATTCAAGATAAAAAATATTTAGAATAATTGCTTCTATGTAGTTGGAGAAAACTTGACTAACACAATATGGTCGTTAATAAAATGATCATAAGAATTATAATTGACTTGTATGAAAATGGGATGAAGAAAAACAAAACAGATGTCTAGCTCTACTATACAACATTCGGTAAACATGTAAAAAAAACTAGGTTATTCAAACAAATCTTCCAAAATCCTACATAACACTGAGGTAAAAAGATTCTTTTTTAAAAACGTAAAAATAAAACATTTGTGCACATTTAAAGTTTTAGCAAAGTATGTATTCAAATAGCTACTGATACTTGGAAGAGAATGTGCAACTTTTATTGCCACTAGCAATGATAAGGACGTTCAAATGCGCCCAAATCCTTAATCAATCAATTAATCATTAAATAACCATGTTTCATTTCTTAACTATTTACATACACGGTGTGTATAATTTTAGTATTCAGTGGACTTCTATCTCAAACTGTGTTATGTTCTGCACTACCTATTATATTTTAATTAATGGCACTTTAAGTTAATTAGAAAGAGCTGAAAATAAAAACTCGGGCAGAGTACCGACTCGAGGATAATAGATGAAACAAGAGACAGACACAAAAACATAGGCGTTCATACGAGAAAGTTGTAAGTAAATTTCGCCTTTTAGAAATATTCGAAAGAGCTAATAAAGTGAAAAGGACTAACCAACTTGTTTGAATTGTGCCTCAATAATAAGTAAACATAGACATGAGAGATTTGTTCATTAGGAGTAAATTCTTCTAACCGTTAAGAAATTCTGAGACTTAATATGTTTTCTTTCTACCAAATATTTACCACCGTCAAACTATGACAATGGATTTGTTGTAAAGAAAGTCTTTTTATTTGACATCATTTTTTTTATGATCATATCAATCATGCCTTTTATTGTTACCAAAATACTCACAACGATAATAGTAACCAAATATGACATTACTATCACCCAATTACTTAGAAATCAGTATATAAATACAGTTGCAATGAAAATAGATATTTAATTTTATTGATATTCTCATCAATAAATGTGAAAACAAAATATATGTGAACACTACTACATGCATGAGAATGAACTATGAGCACAAGTCATAAATCGACTATTTCAAAAAAATGTATTAAGTTATCAGTATATACTTGGTGTAGTGTCTAACACTATTACTAAGTTGGTGAAAAAAACAGACAGAAGGATATACAATCTTACTAGCTGACAGTTTGGAATATGGAGCTTCGAGAACAGTCACAGCCCCGATTACTAATGCTAACAAAGATGTCGCTTGAAATGAAGATAGTAATTACTTAATCGTCAATCTTTGACATTTGATCATAAAACCCTTATCATGGAAACAAAATGTATAGTAATACCAAGTTCCCAAAGCTATCATGGAGTCATTAGGTATGATATAAAAAATTATTATTGAAACTTCAGTTGCCGTTGACCTTAAATTAACGAAATGGACAAGCTGACTATAAATAAGAGAATAGTAAACTTAAATGCAGAGAATAAAACTTTGAACAACAGAAAAAACATACTTCGCCGAATTTCAGCAGATATTTCAAAGTATTCTGAACTAATAACGAAGAAACAAGAGCCATCGTAGTAGGAAGTGATGCTGCGCATACTCCTTCTCGTTTAAGAGTTTTTTCATCCAATCCGCTAGCCACAATTAATGGTGGCAGGCATTCAAAACATGGTGTTCGACCAGGATACATAAGCTGAATATGGCAGCTAACAGCGTCTTCACTGACACCAGACTCATACCAAACCTACATGAAATAAAAGTATGTAAAGACAAAATAATCAATGTGAATGACGCATCAAATTCAAATGAATGGAATGCATATATTTATTTATTTAAACACAAACACTGGTACGAAGAGGCGCCGAAATATGTATGGGCCACACAACAAATTCAATTTTTGTGTGGGCTGGGGTACTTTCCGGGTACCCAAACCGAAGCAGGTGGTTTTCTTTGAGAGGTCACTCCCCGAGCCTTTAACCTAAAGGTCTAATCCATAAGGCAGTGGAGTAACGTGGGGAGATGCAGTCCCATGATAGCCGGTGATCAACAATAGGTTCACACGACATTTGTTTCCTTAGGATTCTGCATACCCACCAACCCAGTCAAAGCACCGGATATTTACTTTCTGTCCTCTCAATTTCGAAAACAACACCCCCACCGTGAAAAGACAGTGAGCAGGACCTCCCTGGCAGTGGTTGTATGCACTTGACCACGTGAGAGCATTTTGAGAGGGAGAGCGGACTCTCCCCACTCTCGGCCGTACAAGAGCATTTACTTTTTATCCCCTCAATTTTGTGAACGACACTCTCGTCATGAGAAGGCAGTCACTAATACACGCGGTCATATGAGAGCATTTTGAGACTGACAGCAGATTCTCCCCAACCTCAGACGTACCAGCGAGTTTGAGGATTGGAAGAGATATATAGTAGGTTCATAGCTATATACCTTAATGCAGAAAACTTTAATAAACCCATGTAAAACGACATAAGAATATTTATGATATCTAAACATTTCATTATTAAAATATTTTTCTTAACTAAGTTTTAATCCTTTCAGTTTTTTGATTGACTGTCTTTCATGATGTTGATTAAAAGTAAAGTATTTATGCCGTAATTAAGTTAGTCGTACAAAACATTTAAATTTACATACAATTCAGTAAAAAATGAGAAGATATACACGTAGATTGTAATTGTAATTTAGGATGATTATCCTATAAAAGCATTTAAATTAATTAGATGTTATACATAGCATTATGAAAAATACCACAATGACAATATTAATATATTCATAAAAACTATACAGAAGGGAATATATTAAAAATATTAAAGAATAATTGGGAATGAGGTGAACGAAGATTTGGTGGGGACAACCAAATTATCGTTTAATACAAAATTACAGAGTATCTTCGCAAAATATGAAAACCATATATTAAATACATAATATGAATATCTTCCATCAGTTGTCTCCTACAAACTTTATCACTCATTGATGTTGTTATTACAATAACTCTCTTATTATATTCTTATCCTATTGAATTCGATCTTCTCCACCTTCTACTCCCAGCTATTCCATTTCCAATTGTTGTTACATACTACGTATGCCCAACGATATACGTAGGAAACACCACAGAAATATTTGAATAATTTTAGTTAGTTAATTAATTATTATCAGAAGGGGTTTTGTGGAGATTTTAGAAATTTCAACATTTGAAATCATGAGTTAATTGAAGCTAAACATTAACACCGCTGGATGCCGGCTCAGTGGTCTAATGGTTAAGCGCTCGCGCGTGAGACTGAGAGATCCTGGGTCCGAATCTCGCGGGAGGTGGGATCGTGGATGAGCACTGCTGAGGAGTTCCATACTAAGACGAAACGGCCGCCCAGTGCTTCCAGGTTTTCCATGATGATCTAGCTTCAATTGACTCATGATTTCAAATGTTATAATTAATTATTTATTTATTTTTAAATTTTATCCACATTGAGGGTTTTAACAGTTAAACTAATCAGTAATCCTTAAATTTCAATAACTTTAGAGCAAAATATTTAAAAAGAAACAGAACATAATCATAAAATGTATAGAAATGAATTATAAAAATATTTATGTTTCATTGTAAAATATAATAAAATAAAATAATAGAAAAAATACTAACTTGACCAAGAAGATTGCACGCTTTATTAATTGTCATACGCGCTTCAAAATTGTCAACACAACTTAATACAAGATCAACAGGATTTTCATTTTTTAAACCACCATGTTCTAAACGGTTAAGAAAATGATCGAAATTCTCTACTAAAGTTATATTATAGTTATGTGCTTCAATTTGTACATCTGGATTGATAAAACTTAGAGTAGACGCTGCAGCTGCAACTTTACTCAAACCAGATTGATGAGGCTATAAAGCGACGAACAAACAATAAGAAGTGAAAATAGTCAAGATATACAGTGCACGTAAATAAATTTAATGCAAGTCAAAATCTGTATAAAATAACTAGCTTGGTAATATGTTTTCTGTTTAGTCAAAGATAATTTCATGAATATTTTTACATGGTATTCGACTGATGACGATTTGTTGAGAAGAAAAACTTAATTTACAATCAATAGTGTGCTTTAAGCTAACTTCAACTACGAAGTGTTGCTACAAACTGAATTTTACAATTGGTTTACACATAACACAACATACCTAGCTGAAATATAGAAAATGTAGACATTTACTTACATTTCCAAAACTAACACTCCATATAGCTTTATTCCAAATTTACTAGTATTAGACAATGCAAAAGATAATTAATTTGTAGTTTAATAATTTAGGAACCTAACCAACCAAGACATTTCTTACTCCAATATCTAAAGACTCCTCTCCATTACTGTTAACGGATATTTGTTTGCATATGCGAGGAGTTCAAGTATTCCTGGTGACACGCATATCCATCATGATGAATAGAATCAAAAATGTTTTAAGTGTTTGATCATAATTTAGAACGACAAATTACTTGTTTCGTGAAATTAACTGGGAACTTTCCCGACCGTAGCTGCTACCTTGACGTGGTCAGTCAGCTGCAACGTAGGACCAGGTACATATATGCATCGGTCCAAGTTGCCATACCGCATTAGCACAACAAGATGTACACCGGATTCATAGAAGTAGTTAATTCAGTGGTGGTCAAATATAAAATAAAAATTGCATGTAAGGACATAGTACAGGAAGAAGGAATTAGTTCGTAGAAAGAAAGATATGAAGCGATTTTAATCCCTTAGTTTAAAACAAGACAGAGTATACACCGACGCCATTGTGATTGATTCTGAGCCATGTCACCCACAGTCTCCAACCATTGATTACGATAGTCACGCGGACCCCAACCAAGTAGTCTGCATCTACCAACATGACTCAGCCCAGAAGTTAGTGACTGATGCCACGTTTTGGTTTGGCCGCCCCTAACTTTCTTCCAATTATCCCTAACACCAGTGAGCATTGCGCGTCGTGGCAATCGGTGTTCAGGCATACGCAACACGTGACCCAACCATCTCAGTCGATGAAGGTTCATAACCTCATCAACTGATTTACCATCTTTCCCTAATACCCTACGTCTAACCTCACTATTACTTACCCGGTGATCCCAGCAGATGCGAGCAATATTTCTAAGGCACCTGTGGTCAAATACTATTAACTCACGAGTATCTTCTACTCTTAAAGGCCATGTTTCGCAGCCGTATATTAGAACGGAACGAACTACCGCACAGTATACTCGTCCCTTAATTGATAGACGGATATCTCGCATTCGCCATAGGTGACATAAGTTGGCAAAAGCCAAACGAGCTTTACGAATCCGTGCTGAGATTTCGTCAGACAACAACCCGTTAGGGTTGATCAGACTTCCAAGATAAGTGAAGTTGTCTACACGTTCGACTACTTCACCCCCTATCCTTAGTTCAGGTGTTGACGCAGACCAGTCCTGAAGCAACAACTTGCATTTAGAGGGAGAGAAGCGCATCCCAAACATTCTGGCATTGTTGCTCAGTGCTACCAAAAGACTCTGCATTTCATCAGCGTCTTCACCAAACATGACTATGTCATCTGCGTATTCTAAGTCGATAAGTGGACCTCCTGGAAGGAGATCGATGCCCGAGAGCTTAGTCGATGAGAGCGTTATTTCCATCAGGATGTCTATGATAAAGTTAAACAAAAAAGGAGAAAGTGGACAGCCTTGACGGACGCCACTTGAGGTTGCGAAAGCAGATGACAGTTCGCCATAAGCTCTGACTCGACTAGTAGTGTTCGAGTAAAGAGCCTTCACAATGTTTATGTACTTCTGAGGTACGCCTTTCAATGACAGACACTGCCACAGAACCTCTCGGTCAACAGAGTCAAACACTGCTTTGAAATCAAGGAATACCACCATTGTTGGACGCCGATAAGTATGCCTGTGTTCTAGAACCTGAAGAATGGTGGATATGTGGTCGATGCAGCCACGATCAGGTCTGAAGCCAGCCTGATTTTCACGTGTTTGCAGTACACGAGTCTTAGTAAGGCGTCCGAAAATTATCGAGGCTAGTATTTTAGATACTATTAGTCAAACTAATCCCTCTGTGGTTGTCACAGGATGATGTATCTGAAAGCCCTGATGCTGCTTCCCGTGGCCTCGCTGGCGTAGGTATAGTATTGAGTCCTAGGGCAGAACTAGCTCTCTTAGACTGGATCCCAGTAGACAGTCGTTTGTGTGCTGTCCGACTAAACGGAACAGTAAGGACTCGCAAAGATAGGGACACTCGTCGTTGCCTCTTTGTCGTCTCTGCCTACTCTCCCACTAACTGCAGGTCAGATAATGTAATAGGTGAGTTTTACAGAAAGCTTTCCGACCTTCTCCGAAAAGCTAGGCACTCTGATGTAGTAATAGTGGCTGATGACTTTAATGGTCAAGTAGGTAAACCAAGCGAAAAGGAAAGACACCTGGGTGGATCTTATGGTGTCGCGGCTCAAAGAACAGATAACGGCGACCGTCTGTTGCAGCTATGCTCAGATAACCGCCTGTTTCTTGCAAACACTAACTTTAAGCATAAGGAAAAACATCTTTTAACATGGCGACCCCTTAATTCGTCCCAACGCTGGACCCAAATAGATCACATCGCTATCAGCCGCCGATGGAGGGGCTCGATAGAAGACTGTCGCTCATTCTGGAACACATGCTTAGACTCAGATCATGCTCTAGTGCGAGCGCGTATTTGTCCACGTCTTACTGGACGTAGGAAACATGCTGCAAGGAAACCCCTTAGGGTCCTACTAAATGATAGTCAAGCTAAGAGTATATTTCAGGAACAACTAGAAAAACAGTTAAGCAGCCATGCAACTGGTGCCCACCCCGAGGCAGCGTGGAACGACATCCGAAAAGCTGTAGAAACAGCAGTGATGTCTGCAAGTACGGTAAACCATAAGGTTAGGGAGAAATACTGGATCTCAGCAGCATCTACCTCACTGATAGATGCCCGAAAACTCATTCCATCTGGCTCTGACCATAACGAAGAGCGGAGTCAGCTTAAGCGTAAGCTGACTAGAAGCCTACACAAAGATCGTGAACAGTGGTGGGTAGCGAAAGCAAGAGAGATGGAAAAGGCAGCGGCAATAGGTAACAGCAGGCAACTGTTCAGACTTGTTAAGGAAATTTATTTATTATTTATTTATTTGAACACATAAATATTGGTACAGGGGGGCACCAAATATATATGCGCCACACAAAACAGTGATAATTAGAGGAGAAGGAGAAAAGAGAAGAAAAGAAAAAAAAAGTAATGAACGTGGGGAATTATAAAAAAAAAGAAGAGAGAGAGAACAATGGTGGGGGAAACGGAAAGGTACAATCAGAACAGATCTTTCAGTTAAGGAAGAATACGACCACCTTTTTATGAAGAAAGTAAAAGAAGGTTACAGCAGGATCGCCACTGGCTTCTATTCTGAGCCATATCTGATAACGTCTCTAGCCACTGCGTTACACCATCTCTCGGACCCCAACCAGGGAGTCGTGAAGGACCAACAGAAGCTAGCCCTTTGCAGCTTTCTTTCATACCACGACACCATGTCATATACTGACCACCTCTCCGCTTTTTCCAACCAGTCCCAGAGTCGGCAAATAATGCACGACGAGGAATTCTCTGGGACGACATTCGTAGGACATGTCCAAGCCACCGAAGTCGGTGTTTCAAGATGGTGACACCAATTTCATTATCGTCTCTGTGACCGAACACTCGATGCCGAACCTCTGCATTACTGACATGGTGTTGCCACTGGATGCCAGCAATCCTTCGGAGGCAACGATGATCGAACACAGAGAGTCGTCTAACATCCTCAACTCGGAGAGGCCAGGTTTCACAAGCATAGAGCAAAACTGCTCTCACCGTCGCGTTGTAGATCCGACCTTTTACAGCCAGACTAACATCACGAAGGCGCCAAAGATGGCCCAGATTGGCATAAGCCGCTCTGGCTTTCACTATACGTGCATTGATCTCATCACTCACGCCACCACCACCAGCACTTATGCAGCTACCTAGATACACGAACTTCTCGACTACTTCTATCTGCTCACCATCCAGAGTGAGTACAGGATTAGAATCCTGCCAGTCTTGTAGAAGTACTTTGCACTTCGAAGGTGCAAAGCACATACCGTACCTACGGACACTGATTGCCAACTGATTAAGTGCGGATTGCATAGCTTGGGCATTCTCGCACAGTAAGACAATATCATCCGCATACTCAAGGTCGAGAAGTCTTTCTCCAGGCAACAGATCCACACCACCATTACTTACATCCGTCAGAGCTGTTTCCAGAATGTCATCGATGGCAAAGTTGAAGAGGAATGGTGAGATTGGGCAACCCTGCCTAACTCCACTGCTTGAATGGAATAGTGGAGAAAGGTGGTTGTATGCCCTCACTCTACCTGAGGTGTTTGTATATAAGGCTTTTAGGATGTTAATAAACTTCTCAGGCACACCCCTCTTCAATAGACAATCCCAGAGAACAGTTCTGTCCAACGAATCGAAAGCAGCCTTGATATCAAGAAACACTACGATTGTTGGCCTTTGATAAGTATGGCGGTGTTCTAACACTTGGCGGAGGGTGAAGATATGATCAATACATCCTCGACCGGAACGAAACCCAGCCTGCTCCTCGCGAGTCAATCCTTCTCGGGTTCTGAACAACCTACGAAGTATGACGGAAGCCAATAGCTTGGACGCAATCGGAAGTAGACTTATCCCCCGATAGTTGTTACAGGAACGACGTGAACCCTTTTTAAAGATAGGGACAACTATCGACTCATTCCATGACGTTGGTACACTCTCTAGTTCCCAGATCTTTGTAAACAACGTCGTCAGTCCTTTAGTCAGAAAGTCACCACCATCTTTAAAAAGAGCCGGGGGTAAGTCGTCTGGGCCTGGTGATTTGTAACGTTTCAAGAGTTGGAGTTCCTTGCGGACTTCCGCCTCATTTGGTGGATCAGTCGTCACCGGCCAAGGAGGGCAGAACAGTCTGACCGATGTTGCCGGAGCAGCAGGCCAGTTGAACTGCCCTTCAAAGAATTCTGCCCATCGTCCAAGACGTCGATGGATGTTAGTGATTGGCGTTCCGTCATCCTCGCAGATTGTTTCGCTCACACCAGACTTCTTGCTGCCAGTGGCTCGGATGAGTTGGAAGAGCTTCCGGTAATTACCAGATGCAGCTGCTGCTTCCAACTCACTGGCACGCTCCGACCACCAGGTTTCTCGGTCCTTACGCAAGCTTTGCCCGATTTCATTACGTAACAACCTTCGTCTGTGGTCAAACTCACGGTCACCCGGAGTAGACCGACGGGCTTCAATCAGTTGTAAGGAACCAGAAGAAACCCAGTGCTTGTAAGCGGGACGTTTCGCAATCCCACAGCTGACTTGACCCGCCATTTTCATGGCGTCATGCAATTGCAACCAATGCTCATCTATACTTTTCGGTGGAATAGTGGCTAGCCTAGAAGCTAGCTCGGCTCGGTACTTACTAGCAACAGAAGTTGCAGCCAGCTTGCTAACATCAATCCTGTGGTGGCGGTCACTTCGTTGTCCACTGAAAAGTAAGGTAAGATTGGCGCAGACCAGAGCATGATCAGATTCCAGATAGGTACTCCAAAAGGAGCGGCAGTCTTGTACACAACCGCGCCAGCGGTAGCTGATCGCGATGTGATCAATCTGAGTCCAGGCTTGAGATGCAGAAGGAGGACGCCAGGTGGCACATCGGCGATGACTGTGCCGAAAGTTAGTGCTAGCCAGAAACAGGTTGTGGTCTGTGCATAGTTGCAGTAGACGTTCCCCGTTATCTGTCCTGCGACCAACGAGTCCCCATCGGCCACCTAAACGACTCTCTTCTGTGCCTAGACGCCCGACCTGAGCATTCAAGTCTCCAGCTAGTACTACAATATCTGTCGAACGCACTTTCTGGAGAAGAACAGATAACTGGTGGTAGAACTCATCCTTGATTGCATCCGGGCTGCAATCTGTCGGGGCATAGGCGGAGATGACGAAAAGACATCGTTTCTCACGCCGATTTCTTCTCACTCTGATGGTACTTTCTAATCTAACAGCACATAACCGACTGTTAATGGGGATCCAGTCGACTAGTGCTGCCTCAGCTCTTGCGCTTAGTGCGACACCAACGCCAGCAAGACCAGACGAAGATGCCACAGGGTCCCCGGATAAACGCACGTAAAACAAGCTTTTTGAAGTGACAGATGGAGAGCGAACTTGAAGTACTTCACCAGAGTCTTGAATACGGGTCTCGGATAGACAACACACATCAATATTAAGACTTTCCAAAGACATTGCCAGACCTATCTGTTGTCCGACCTGCATAAGTGTGCGAACGTTAAAGGCAGCCAGTTTGAATGGTGCGCGTGGTTTCAGAAAGACTGCTTCAGTACTCTTATTCGATGGTAACATACAATTTTCAAACCAGGCAGTGACTCGAGAACGTTTAGATAAAGCTGAATTTTTACCATAGGCGAGCTGCTGTCTGAGTCGAAACGGATACAAAAAGTAGAAATAGGAGATAGTGAGTAAATGACGTAGTAAATAATAATAATAATAATAATAATAATAATAATAATAATAATAGTATCAGTCATTTCAATGTTAGTCAGAGAAGAACGAATATTTTCCGTAAGCGAATATTTCATCATGTTTTGGTGTGTGGGCTGAGATACTGCCCGGGTGCCCAAACCGAAGCAGGTGGTTTTCTTAGGGGGCCACACCCCGAGCCTTTGACCTAAAGGTCTAGTCCACAAGGCAGTGGAGCATCGTGAGGAGATGCAGTCCCATGGAAGCCGGTGACCAAAAGTTGGTTCATACGCCATTTGTTCCTTCAGGATACTGGAGCCCATGTGCACCATAGAATTGGGATCCGGTTATAGCGCCGGACGTTCGCTTTTCGTCCTCTCATTTTCGTAAACAACACCCCCGCCACGAGAAGGCAGTGAGTAGGACTTCCCTGGCAGAGGCTGTATACGCGTGGCCGTGTGAGAGGAAACCGGTATTAGGAACCCAACTGTTAGCGAAACAATCTCAGAGAAAGATGGACATATTATTCATTCGCAATCCAGGAGATTGGATCGATGGGCAGAATACTCTAGGGATCAGTTCAACTGGCCTTCAGCCACACTTCGGTTTCCCACGAACTCCAGTCGACCTGAATGGCAAGTTGATGTAAGTCCTCGACTCTTTACGAAGTTGAAAAAGCTATAGGAAATCTGAAGCGTAAGAGAGCAGCAGGCCCTGAAAAGTTTACCCCTGAGATTTTTAAGGATGGCGGTCCAGTATTAGCAGCGAGATTGACTGAGGTCTTAGGTAGAATCTGGGAACTGGACGTAATCCCATCTGACTGGTCTCAATCACTGATTGTGCCAGTCTATAAGAAAGGAAAAAAGTCCTCCTGTGACAATCACAGAGGAATTAGTTTGACTAATATAGTGTCTAAAATATTAGCTTCAATAATACTTCGACGTCTAACCAAAGCTCGTGAAATGCAGACTAGAGAAAACCAGGCTGGTTTTCGACCTGGACGTGGTTGTATAGATCAGATATTCGCATTACGTCAGGTTCTAGAACATAGACACACATTCAGACGCCCCACAATGGTAGTATTTCTCGACCTTAAGGCGGCATTTGACTCTGTTGATCGTGAGGTTCTATGGCAGTGTTTGTCACTGAAGGGAGTACCAAAGAAGTACATCAACCTTATAAAGGCTCTCTACTCGAACACAACTGGTCGAGTGAGAGCTTATGGTGAACTGTCATCAGAATTGATTACCTCAAGTGGTGTTCGTCAGGGCTGTCCACTCTCTCCATTCTTGTTTAACTTTGTCGTTGACGTCCTTTTAGAGATGACACTTTCCTCATCTAAATTTCCAGGAGTTGAACTTCTACCGGGAGATCCACTTGTTGACTTAGAATATGCCGATGACATAGTTCTATTTGGTGAAGACGCTGACAAAATGCAAAGTCTGCTGACCACTCTAAACAACAATGCAAGCATGTTCGGCATGCGATTTTCTCCCTCGAAATGCAAAATGTTGCTTCAGGATTGGGTTGCGTTGACACCCGAACTAGTGATAGGGAGTGAAGTAGTTGAGCGTGTCGACCGCTTCACTTATCTCGGAAGTCTCATCAGCCCTTGTGGTTTGGTGTGTGACGAAATCTCAGCACGGATACAGAAGGCTCGACTAGCTTTTGCCAACTTGCGACATTTGTGGCGTAGGCGAGATATCCGCCTATCAACCAAAGGACGTGTTTACTGCGCAGCAGTTCGTTCTGTCCTACTTTATGGCAGTGAAACATGGCCAGTAAGAGTAGAGGATATTCGTAGGTTACTAGTATTTGACCATAGGTGTCTTCGAAACATCGCTCGTATATTCTGGGACCACCGAGTAAGTAACTCAGTTGTTAGGAAATGGGTACAAGGTAAGGATGGCAAATCAATTGATGAAGTAGTGAAACTTAATCAGTTGAGATGGCTGAGTCATGTGCTGCGTATGCCCGACCACCGACTGCCCCGACGTGCTATGTTTTATGGTGTTGTAGGAGTAGGTTGGAAGAAGGCTAGGGGCGGCCAGACCAAAACATGGCAGAAATCCATGAAGTCACTGACAAGTGGACTGAGCCATGTTGGTAGGTGTAGACTACCTGGTTGGGGACCGCGAGACGATAGCAACCGATGGTTAGAGACCTTGAATGACATGGCTCAAAATCGTTTGCAATGGCTCAGGTGCATCCACTCTCTGTGTTCTCGCAAACTATAATCTTGTGAATTCCTTTATTTTCTTTCAAAATCTATTCCACTTGATTATACTCCTTAAATAACATCATCAAACCTTAATGTTCCCTGTCACTACTTATACTTTCACTACCTCCACCACTAGGGGATTTGAATTGATAACTGAATCTCTGTACTAATGTGGTATGGCAACTCGAACTGATGTACGTACGTACGAAGTTCCACGTTGTTACTGACTGACTGACTGACTGAAATTAACTGGTCTATTAACTGACTTAAGGGAAAAAATAATTCAATAAAATTGGTTACCCTACGTACACTAATATGGTAAAAGAAGTGAAGAAATCATAATAAAGAATAAACACGTAATTCACAAACTCCCTTAAGTTGGATAATATACAATAATTATTAAGCAATAACAGTATAAGAAAATCTTAGTTGAGTTCTAGAAGGTAATAAGTCCGTGCTTTGATGAAGAGACTAAGTACATATTGTAGCAATTTAATTAGATAAGCTTCATATTAACATAGAAAATAGAAACTAAAAAGGAAGCTAATGGCGATAAAAATCACCATACTAATCATAGTAGAAGGGTAAACAACAATAAGTGATCGTTCATACATGGATGTGTTCAAATAACACGACAGTTGAAAACTTCTCCCCAAAACTTAGGAATATATAATGATCCTATTAGTGTTGATAAAATAAGAAAACCAGGACAATAATAGTACTAAATTTCATTAACCTGAAAGAATAATCGATTCATATTGGCCAACTCCACTTTATCATAATCAAATAAAATCAGACGACCAATTCCACATCGAACAAGCATTTCAGCAGTCACTGAACCAACACCTCCAATACCCACTATAACAACAGTCTTTTCTCGAATTCTGAATAATTAGAAAATAGAATTGAATAAAAGTGAATTAGATTATTGCAAAGCACCACTTAAATATGTATTTATGTAACGAGGAAGCGATTCATAACATTTTATTCACAAACTTCCGGATATTTTTGCATCTGATAGATGGAGTCAATTATTTAACAGTGAAGAATATTAGGTTGTTTAATGTCAATCATTCGTATATATCAGTGAACACGATAAAATAAAATGATTTGTTTCCGATTTTCTTATGAGGTTTGAACAGCCCAAAATCACACTGAGAAATATAATTATGAATAACGGTTTAACACAATTCGGTTGGTGAAGTTGAGATGGATGTTTAAAACGAAACTAAGAATCGTTATAAAAAGAACAGGATACAAGCTGACTAAATATGGTTAAGATTGACGCGTGTTTGTATGTTTAAAAATAATAATGAAGAGTAAGGGACGTGGTATTATGGTTACTAATAATCATAATGAAAAGAAAGTGATTGCACAATGTCTATAGTCATAGTATTTCGTGTAATTTTAAATTATTTGCAGCTGGAAAGAACCGATAAAATGGAATGAATTAATCTTGTTTTGCAAACCTTATTGTTCTTGCTCTGTTCAAACTTATCAAGCGATCAAATAGTATCAAATAATCACTTTATATTATTTTCCAAAATAATTTTTTTCAATTTTACCAGGTTTGACTTAGAAATAATCATCCGTTAAAAGAAAACAGTAACACGTGAGAAACAATAGATGATTGATTTACTAAATAAATAGGTTTATCTAGTGAGTAACAACTAGAAGTTTTTAACAATAAAATAAAGATATTCCCTAAATGGATTACAATTTGAAAAACTGTGATAAATAACTAGGTGACCTTTGATTTTGTTCTGGTTTAAGAATAACACAAATTATGTGCAGACATTCGATCGTTTGAGAAATTGAAATAGTAAAAAAATAGTTAAACTAATTACTTATGACAGATTTTTAAACTTAAATTACCATCAGCTGTTCTAATTGATCAAATAAACCAGTTAACAGATTTTGCTTTGGTAGTATAAAGAGATTTGTGGAGGTAGTAAAGCTTTGATAATTTAAATCACGAGCTTAGATAGGCTACCATTGAAAGCTTGGAAGCATTGAACGGTCATTTCATTATAGTATGGGACTTGTTCAAAATGCGAACTTACGAAACCGCACCCGAAAATAGAACCCTTGACCTTCAGTTGATTGACCTTAGGCATTAACACCGCTGGATACTGGCTATGGTCTAGAAGTCGAGGGTTTGAGCGCGGAACCGAAGGTCTTGTGTCTAGTTTCCGCATGCGGGGTCGTGGATGTGTATTTCTGAGGAGCTCAACATTAGAGCGAAACAATTGTTCCTGATTTCAATGGTGGTCTAGTTAAGATCAGTTAGTGATTTAAACCATAGAATTTTTGTTTAGCCTACTATGTTGCAATAATAGCGAGAAATTTTTTGGCAGAGCGAATTATTGGTGAAAACGCACAATAGAGGAAAGTTAAGATTGCTTTATTGAAGTTATCACCAGAAAAAAGTATAAATCATGTATCTTTATAGCCTAATTTCTATTTCATTAATGACGATTAACTATGATACACAGATGAAATTTCTATTGTTCAGTAGAAATGAATAGTATAAAGACCTAGAACACAAGACGGGAACCTAAGAATTTTTTGTAGAGATTGCCTTAAAAGCTATGGTACGGATAAATTAAGTTATAATTTTTCATGTCAGATATACGCTGTTTTGGTTTTGAAAAAAGATAACTTGAACAAATGAATTTTTCGAATCAATTAATGATACTATTCTAGCATTTACAAATAAATTTGTAACATTGTTTTAACTTACTAAAACGTATTATCATTGGAAAATGAAGAGAAAATTATTTTTAATATGTTTTAAATACCGTAGACTAGTGATTTAAACTGATGAAAGGATAGAAATATTTCACTATGATTTATTTCTCAATGCAAATACTAATGTCAATATTTATCAGAAACATGTCAAGAATTCATAAGATACTAAATAAATATTTGACTATGAAATAAACCACTAATTATATTGGATATTTTTGTACCAATTCAAAAGATGAACTGACTGTTATGAACAGGTAAATTTTGTGTATATATAATCGATTACTTATTTAACTGTTTGAATACGATATTACTGTTACTAGAGCCTTTGTTATTGTTGTATTAATGTTTCTACGATTACTGTTGACACCCAAGTGTGACAAATAATCTGTATCTGTTATTGCGAACAGTAGCGCCTAACTGTTTATTGAATAGAAAAGCATTTATTTCTAATTGATTGCTACGTTTTCATTAAAATATTTAAATAATTTCGGTGGAGTTGAGTTTACTAAGTTGAGCAAATTATTCATGAAAATTTCACTCTCCTTTTAGACATCACAACAAACTACTAACAGAATTTGTAACAACTCCCATACGTTGAAGTGCCATAAGACGACTATATGGATTAGAGTCGACAACTTCATTACTCATTTGATCAATTTTAGGACGATTAGTATGAGATTGAGATAAGTCATTTTTCATTTGTACAATTTGTGTTTTAAGTACATCAATTTCTGGTCGTAATGAAATTCTGTGTTAAAGTAAAGGGTTACTTTTTGTAATAATAATAATAAAACCTTTCAACGGCGAAAAGAATTTGCATAAAAAAACTATACAGACTGCATACAGAGCATAATTTGTAACAACTCCCATACGTTGAAGTGCCATAAGACGACTATATGGATTAGAGTCGACAACTTCATTACTCATTTGATCAATTTTAGGACGATTAGTATGAGATTGAGATAAGTCATTTTTCATTTGTACAATCTGTGCTTTAAGTACATCAATTTCCGCTCGTAAATTCCTATTGGTTTGACGGAGTGAACTTTTGTTATTTGATGGCATTAGGGACTAATAACTAGAAAACAAATAAACAAATAATTAAATATAATAAAACCAAAGTTTTAATCAACGAAAATTAATAAACAGATAGTCTAATCGATGGATTTATGTCGACTAGAGAAACGTTAAATACCAAGAATAACATGATTTTCACTTCAACTTAATGTGCAACTCCTTAGTACTACGTTCTCATAAGTCTACACTAGATCAGTCCGTTAGGAAAACTAATTACGAATTATTCATCTACTAAATTGAATATCAATAAAGTAATGAATTTAAAGTGTAGTGAAGAGAAAATGATCAAATACATTTTTTGATGATTCACACTGAAAGTAACATTTATTTTAACAGTCAACTGCATAGAACTATTGAATTTTTGAACTAATTAGAGGAGCTAAATCTACAACTACCAAAGAACTGGATTGTAACAGTCGGAAAGCTGTTGTTATGTTAATAAAACCATTTAAGCATAATGTTTCCTAAACGTTACACATTTATTCCAAGCTACACATATAATGCTTCCTTAAAATGAACAACCATCAGTCAGATATATAAATTTTTAATGAAGTTTAAAAATAAAACTCGGATATTCGCATGGAGTTCATTCAGTGCAATAATTAAAAATTGCTAATGTAAATCACTTATCAAGTTAATGTTTATGTATTCGGCTTTGAGGTAAACTCTTAGTATAAGCTAGATATATTAACACATTTCTCAAACCAAAGTATCTTGAAGAGGACTCGAAATTGTAACCCAAAAATTGAAAAGGATTTAACAATTAAGCAACTAATTTATCTCAATGATATTCCTCTAATTAGATTTTTATGAAAGGTTATTCTACTCTAAGTGAACTAGCATTAAACAACTTCCAGTAATAAATGTTTTCTAGAAGTAATACATCAGTGATATATATATATATATATACCAGTAATAATTAAGGATAAAGATTTTATTTATAACTGGCCAATCCAAAGTTAATAGTATCTGCAATTAAATGTGTTCTACCACAATCATTTGACAAATGTATATTAGTCAGTCCATTGTATAAAATGAATCACTTTGTACAATTAATACACGTGAATGATTTATAGTCGTAATAAACATTGTTTTTTGCATTAATAACCGAATAGTATATATTATCTCCTTAAATCAATATATTTCGTAAAATCATATAAGTTATACAACATTGAAACTGTTACAGAATTCTGTGTTTTATAACTTGAGAAACTAATCAAGTACATTGTATGAGACAGTTTAAATTATGAACAATACGCGTAAATAATTTAGTCGATATTTTATCTTTATTGAAATATAATTTGAGAACCACACTATAAATGACAACAAATATGAAATACATTCGTTATCAATCATGAATAAGCAATTTCTCGTGGCATAAAGTATAAATCATCATTTTGACGACGATTTTGAAGACAAATTAATCAGTATCAATTTTATAATCTTGAAAAACAATGAAGTACCAAGAGTTCACTTTGTTATACCTTACAATATCTACACAAGTTACCCGCTTAAAACAACTACGTAAGACTAAAATTATCCACAACATTTAGTCCCTGTTTATCTTCTAATTCGTTTTTGCGCATGTCAAATTGGTTTGTTGACATTTTAATATTAGTCAACTTGTGAAACACAGGAATAAAAAAAAATGAGATTAGACTTCACTAATATGTGTGCTACTTCTATAACACAATTTTTATAACTTCTTATTAAGAAAAATAACTTGTTTAGATCAATATCAATCACTGATGAGTAACATTTGCAAATGTACTTTGATCTATTTAATAGATATAGTAATACAAGCATACACAAGCACACTATATAACAAAATCACACTTTTTTTTCAAAAGTTTTTATATTGAAATTGGAATTTTCGACAGTTTCCATTAACCAATCAGAATTATTCTGTATACAATACAAAGTAAATGAAGATGTGTACAAGCAAAATAAAACGCTAAGCGAATGGGTAGTGTCCTTTCAAATCTGATTTTAATAAATAAATAAATAAATGAAGCAATAAACAACACACTAAAATATAATGAAATGTAGATTGAATGGTTTGTATGGAATCGCTTTTGATGTTCATCTTCTCCATGAAACAGCTTTACTCCCTCTAATGAGCACAAACGCGCACTACAAAATAATAGCTAAAACTGGAGATTGAATCTAAGACAAGTAAATAATAATGGTGAAAGACACATGGTGACTTGTTTTTTTCTGTTTTGTAAAATATTCATTTTGTAATATACACAATATAAAGCAAATACTTCTTGGGTATAATTCGTAGTTAATCAGCAATTCCTCGAGCTAATACAGCAAAAGCATCACGTTGTAAACGACGTCGCTCAACTCTAGGTAGTGGAAGTTTATCTAACATAATGAATAATTTTTGAAATCTATTATTTTTCATCATATTTGGAACAATCATTTGTGGTGAATTACGCATTCTACTAGATTTGGAGCATATATTGGATGAATTATCTGAATCAAAATTAGATCTTTCAGTGTTTAGAAAACCGTTGGAATGAAATACATAAAAGATATGATGTAGAATAGCACACGAGCATAAACGGCTTAATTGTGCAATCGAATTCTGTAAAGTTAATATAAAATAGTCATACAAAAATGATCAATTGTACTAGTAAAAATAAAAACTATCAATTTTATTAACGTGTACAGAAAGGAGAAAACCAAAATTTAAAACTGTTATTATTTAAAGTTTGCTTGAAATAATCTACTTTAAAATCATTTGAAATGGCGCAGGTGCACCCATTTTCTGGCATCTACCAAGTTCTGAGATTCTAAATTCCTCAGAATATTTTTTCTGTTCCACTAATTTATATTTTCTTGGATTATATATTTGATGCCTAGTCTTTTTCATTACCACTGATGCATTTACTACCTCCACTATACTGGGATTTGGCCTGACAATTTCATCTCTCTGTGCTAATGGAGTATGACGATTTGAGCCGATGTACATACGTACCGGGTTCTACGTGGCGACCAACAGAATGCATGTGTAAGAAACTCTTAAATGGAACCCGTCAACATTACTCCACATCGTTTTTTTTAAAGTATAACTGTGTAAGATATGATTATTAAGAGGGCTTGATTCGACATTGAGTATTCAACTGTACGTTTCGCAACTTGAAATATGGGCATTCATATCAAGCGATAGACCAAAAATGAACTGTAAGACCTGAAAACATAAGACTTTAGTTCATGACTCCCATATAAAATAGAGTATACATTAAATAAAGATTAGAGGACCTAAAGAGTTTCCCATATAATACTATTTATTTAACTTGTGAAATACCATCCCTTCCAACAGCATATGACGAAGATATGGTAAGTCATTGGAAAGCATCAAACATTACGACGCCACTCTCTCTATGTAGAGTCTGAAAACTTTTATTAATACCAAAAATCCTTTCTATAGAAAAATATAAAGTGGAAATGTAACGACTTATAGTCTGTGACACAATCGTAGTCTGAAATAGAGGTGAATTTACAAAGAATGAAGTTTCCAGTAGTGATTAATTTTAGAATTGGTTTCTTACAAGTACTTCGTAGACTGGACAATAAACAATATAGGAAATGTAACTGTTACACTTGATATTTGTTGTCCGACACGCTTATTTACGGACTTAGTAACCTACAATTATTGATGACTAAAAATAACAGAATATTTTAGACTCACCTTTTTCAACTTGTATACCTGGGACCAAATTTCCGAAATAATTTATACTATAATACTGAAGTAAAATGTACAAGGTCCATTAAAAAAATCACAGATTGTATAGCTAGGTTTCACCTTTTTATTCTACTAATTAAGCGAATTTAAAAGTTAGTTCCCATAGAGCAAAAAACATACCTGTTGTAACGACCGCAGTTGAATTGCTTTAGTTTGGCCATAAACGTCAAAAACAGCCCGCATACGTGGTGTGGAAGAAGGGATACTATCGAAAGAATGACGATCAGAAGGTGGGAATGATCCAGGAGTTTCACTAGTACTGTTAGTCACATTATAATTAATGCTGCTTGCATCTCCATTGACAGGTGAAAATGAGGAGTCAACACTGATTAGATTCTTTTCAAAATCAGACGGTGAAATAGCCACTGTTTCCTGTAGCAAAAATTATACAGAGGTTGTGATCACCTGCTAGACTTCACGGTTGAGCACATAAATTAGTTTCTACAACGAGCATTAGGAATCTAGTCTTACTGGACTTCCGGCAACCTTAGTGTACGTACACTCTTTATTAATCTATTTACTATCAGATTAGCGATTCGTGGTAGTCTTTTCTAAATTTAATCTTCTTAATATAGGCAAAAAAGTACTTAATTAATGATAATTCTATCGTTTGAACAACGGTCTTGCCGTTTGATTTCCACATAGTTGACCTGCTTCGGCTTGGGCACCTAGGCAGTATTACATCCAACACACAAATACAATGAAAATTTGTGTGGCGCATATCTATTTGGCGCCCGCTTGTATCAATAGTTATGTGTTCGAATA